GTATCATCATCTCAGTTTTTTCACGTACTGCTCACCAATCTTGATCGAACTATATGTCAAAATTATTATCCCAAATTGGATTTGCATTTTTATTGTGAATTGGTTTAGTGTGAATTTGCATTTTGCCATGTGTGCTCCAATTTTTCATGTATTGTATCTCTGTTATAATTTTGTTGTGGTTAACAACTGCACACATTTCCTTGCAAAAAAAAACAACTGCACACATTTGCTCCGTGAGAAACCTTCACTTATATAAACTAGCTCTAATACAACATCCTAAACACCTGCCTGAGTAAGATCTCATTGGAATGGTAAAATGACCTTTTGATAAGTCTGTAGCTCTCTTGATGAACTTACAAGAAAAAAGACATAAACTTATTTTATGTCTTTTTTACTTCACATGAGAGAATCGTTGAATCTGCTTCCTTTTGTTTTTGTTTTGAAAACTATGAACTTTAGATTGGATCTATCATGCATAGAGGTGCATATGGGTAGTAATATTACTTCGTATTAGAAACCAGTTATGTTATTTTAGAAAGTGAACATGCCATTTTAAAGCCCCGTTTGAGGGTTATGTGGATCAGATGAATTAATTAAATGACTGAAAAGAATACAGTATACAAGCATATGTGTAAAACTATACATGTTCTACACATAGATACAATGAGTCTCATGTCATATATAGATAATCAGATAATGTACTACATTTTTCAGTTTTTTCTTCTAGCAACAAAATAAGCAAATAATAAATTGGTATATACGGGAACTAGGTAGCTAGAAACTAGCATCATATATACTCAGCCTCACTAAATATGAAATAATTTAACATTATCCTAATCACAAGGTCATGAGTCATGACATGATGAATGTATGTGAGAAGACGCTGCAAAATTGGGTAGCCCCAGGTTGGCTGACGACGTTGATCTTTCTCTGTCCGGTGATGCATGCAAAGGTTTTGTTTTCTCCTTATTTATCGTGTGGTCTATTATATGCTTTATTTGTGGTTTAATACACAATTATGATATTGATTTTAGGAAGGGAGTGGAGATATTTTGTCTGGAAGGATGAATTATTGGCACCAGTGACCAATAGAAGGAAAGATATGGTGAAAGTGGTTTTTGAGGAAGTAAAGCCTCTTCAATTGAGGAATTAAAATCCATCATTTCAGCTATGAAAACGGATTTAGAAAGCATTAAAATGATTGTTCATTCGGAAGCAAAAAACATGCTATTTTGGAAGAGAATGTGTCATGTATTTATAATGGTTTTTGTTGTTGTTATGGTAAAGAAAATGTAATAGGTAGGACTAGTATCTGACAAACCACAAATGTAGTCCTTATTCTATATTACATAGTACATTGTCATTGTACCATTGGATGCATCTACTGCTATTTTTTGTCAATCAGAGTGTGTTTACAATGAGGCTTTATGATTTACTGTTGCTGGTTTTTTAGGTGTGCTTTTTTGTTCATTTTGTTCTGGTTTTGTTAATGTTTCTGGTAACTAAAGAAAAACACTTCTTGCCTCAAATATTACAAAAGGGTTTGAAGACACTTATAGTAGGGTTGGTCCTGATATAAGAAGCCTCACCATAAGCACAAAAAGGATGAATGATCCTGAACTAGCCCAATTCTTCATTAATGTAATGTTAATGAATCAAATGGAAAGTAAACACCACTCTTTTCGTAACACTATCAACAGAGGTTAGCTTAAAATTTCCTTCGGTCCAATTTCGAATGTAGAAAAATGATTTGAAAAGAGAGTATAGAATACACAAACTGCACTTGAAAAAGAGCTCAACTTATATCACAAAAGCTATTACAAATGTCTTTTTTTTTCAAAACCCTGAATTCCAGTCTATTGTCAAGAAAAGCATGAATATTAAGGCTGAAAATGTCATAGCTTTTTTTGTTGTTGTTGCTCTTATGGTCAATGACATGTTACTACTGTTATGGTATACTCTCATTATCTCACCACCATTTAGAGAATTGTACCAAGCCAAATGATTTTGCCGCCATTATCCCACCTCAACCAAATATAAGCACATGCATAACTTCACCCTCCAACCGGTGTAACCACTATATGGAGTAGCAGTAATACAAGTGAAGTAACCACAAAAGTAAGTAACAAGCTAGCGTATGGTATTCTTCCATAGCAATGAAGTAAATTAGGAATAGCAACTGGCCTTGAACTTTTCTTACGGTTCAGTTTATATTAAGTCAATTTATAACTCGCTTAATGAGCATTTGGATAATAGCTATTTTTTAGATACATATTATGACATGCCTAATGAGTTTAATTACACAAATGAGCTCAAACCATCCACAATAATAGGTAGCTGACAGTTTACATGCAAAAAATTAGCTCTTAACTAATGAGTTGCAAAAAACAAAACACCCCTTCACAAACAACAAAATATCCCTTCCAAGATAACAAATTAAACTACAAGTAGCTCAAAATGCTAATCAAGTTCTTTCTACCCATATTATAGAATTATTTTTAAAACCCAATATGCTACGTAATTCATTTATTCTACTCATTCGTCAAATCTTATTGTTGTACTACTACCACTTGTAGCACCTCTTCCACTGCACCTTTGCCACCCCTCCGCCCCTTTCACCTGTGCCATGACCTTCAGACCTAATAGAAGACCCAATAGTAGGACAAACCTCCAAATGATGTAAAAAGAAATAAAGGAGTAGACGACAATGAAAAAGGAGCAAGTCAACAATGAGTATGAGATATAGGTGATGAATACACCTTAGAGATCAAATATATAAGACAATGGCATTTAAAACATGACTTCGTCACCAGGTTCCTCTCAAGTATCAAGGACACATGTTCTATTTTAGAGTTCCTATTTGAAGGTGTGAGTTCAAAAAAAACATTCTGTGAGCTTTTTAAAACGGTACCTGGTGGGTCTACAGTTTTAGAGGATTAGCACATGCAGACATATGAAGCAATAACTATGAAATAGGAGACAGTTCTTCCTGTATAACTCCTTTTAAAATAAAGTGATTTACAAATGGTCAGGTGTTTTGCTAAAATACTTCTAGGTATATTTTTTAGGTGAAATGCTATAAGAAAAATCAAAATATTTTAAAATACCCCAGTTATAGCTTTAAACTTTTCAATGCTTAAAGCTGTGGAGAAGCACAAAGCAGTGTTGAACAATTAAGAAACCTGAAGCAAATTTTAAACAAGGCAGAGTGTGGAAATACAAAAAGGATTTTAAAAATAAAATCCCCGTACATTTTGTTTGTTTTTTTTTTTGCTTCACTTGCTGCAGCTCAGGTGCAAAAGGCAACCATTAGTCTTTTAGTATACCAATAGACTAATGAAACTTCAAGATTGTTATTTTCCTGCACAAGACATTGATGCAGTCATGCAGTGTACTTGCATTTGAGAAGGATTTTATAAAGGTCTCTCCCGCTGGTAGTGCTGGACTCGGGCCGGTTCGGGCCCGGTTCGGGCCTGGGCCCGGCCGGGCCTCGGGCCAGGAAAGGGAGGCCCGAGCCCGAACCGCCGGTGGCCGGTTCCGGTCCCGGTTCCGGGCCAAACCGGGCCGGGCCGAACCGGCCCAATTAATTTTTTTTTTTTGTTCTCCTATTTAATCCCCTACCCCTCCCCCTCAACCCCAAACCATCCCAAACCACCTCAAATGGCCCAAAATACCTAATCCAACCTAAAACTTAAAAAAATTTCAAAAAAAAGAAAAAAAAAATTAAAATCCGGCCCGGACCGGGCCCGAACCGGCCGGGCCGGTTCACCAAAACCTGGGCCCGGGCCCGAACCGGCCAGCAGCCGGGCCGGGCCGAACCGAACCGGTGGACCCACCGGGCCCCGGGCCGGGCCGGGCCAAACAGTAACCGGGCCGGGCCGGTTCCGGGCCGGGCCGCCCGGCCCGAGTCCAGCACTACCCGCTGGCGGGATAAGAAATGGTTGCGTTCAAGTTTTAATCGTTAATAACATGGTAATGGCCCATGCTAACTCCATTGCTTTAAGTTGATTTTTTCCACGAAAAACATCACAATTTCGTACTAATTCCATACGGACCAGTACTGAATGTGTTAATACTTTCCAAATATATAATTTTCTTAAAACTCCAAAGTAAGTTGGATAGTAATAATTCACAATTCAAGCATAATGCATATCATCTACTAAATTATCAGTAGAGTAGAGAGATCAGTTTCATGTAGAAATCAATGTTTAAGAACCAAAAAGTGGGTAGAACTCAATGTTTATGAAGATATCAATGCTCATTGTACGGGAAAGTAGGTAGAAGATAATTTCTTAATAAATCTAAATAAGTAAAGAATCCAATCTCTTTTCTGTTTAGCATTGAGTATCTTAACAAAATTAAATAGAAACAGGGGGATATGAAATGGAAATAAAATAGGAACATAATCTCTTACCTTCCACCATCAAACGTCTTATGTTCCCAATTGCAATACAAATCTGGTGAAGGAATCCCTTCTGTGAGGACACTAATAACCCTAAGTAGCGATAGAAATAAGAATAACAAGAGAGCTCCATTCAAGGGCAGTCAAAATTTGTAGGAAAATTATTAGATTTGGAGAAATGAAAAAAGGTTCCCAATTGCAATACAAATTTGGTGAAGAAAAATCCCTTCATTCAAAAGTCATAACACTAATAACCTTAAGTAGCAATAAAATGAAGAATGAGAAAAGGGGGTTCAATTCAGTGAAGGTAGGTTGTGATTTGTGAACGAAATGAAATGGAAAAATGAAGAAAAAAAAATTAGTGTTGGCTACAATAAGGGAACCTATACTACGTACAATCCAAGGCTTCAGGAGGCTGCTACGAAAGAAACCACGCAGTAGACGGAACCTACGGCAAGGCTTCAAGAGGCTGCCGGCGTCTGCTAAAGGAAGAAACGTGCGTCTGCTGGAAGAAGACGATTGGAATTCTATTTTTGTGTGTGAAAGAAATAGGAATTATTCTATTGTGCAGGGCTCATATGTAAAAAATTTAAATTCCTAAACGAAACTGCTGATATGGAATGTCTTCCACTCATATTCAGCCACATGTCTAATGCACCAGAACATTCTACAAAGGGAATGCACGGGAGAGCTCCCCTAAAAATAATAGAAACACAAAGCCAATATGGTAGTTGTTTTTGGACAATCAAAGCTAATATTTTTTAACAAAAACATTTTCAAAATAAAAAAGATCAAAACGGTCTGGTCCAGTCCATTGGGAATGACTCTGTCCAATCCCAACTTGGTCTCCTGGGCCAAAACTTTCCGGTTCACTCTTCCAACTTATGATTTCCGTGATCCCGGCTTAGTCTTGGCTTGATGCTCAGTCCAAGTCACATATGACCTGACACATCATTTAAGAAAATGAAAATAAAAATCATCCCCAAATTCAACTAAAACCGACATCTTACAATAACGATATTGCTAGATTAAAGAGCCAAGCTAAACAATATTACACTTGTTATTTATTCATGGTAGAAATATTCACAATTCATGACTCATCTAAGCCGCGTAAAACAAATGTAAAATGATATCAGCATTTCAATAAACAAAAAGCGATAAAATAGTTAAGCGGAGAAGCAAAAGCTTCATCGGAATATTGACTTGTATATTTAAAAATATAAGAACAGAAGAAGAAGCAATCATACATTCATACTGTTCTTGTAATTGGAGGCAATGACTTGAGAAGATTCAAAGAAGGGCGCCTCACGGTGTGGTTGAGCAGAACCATAAGTGTTAAAAGAGTCAAAGCTCCGGCTTGATGAGCTGTCCCTAATGAAACAGGTACGTACGAAAGAAGTGTTGATATGCCCAAGCTGACCTGTGAATTAAACAGATTATAGCTTGTAGTCTGTACAAGGGAAGAGAGGTTCCATTGCTGCTTGCGGGATCACAACCATCCGATTTCAATCGGACAGCTGAGAGAAACAAGAATGTGTTGTTTGTCCTACGGACATGCAGCAGATCCCGAAACCTATCAGGTCTATTTGGAACACTGAAATAAAAATTACGGTATAAAAATGGATGCAAGAAAATTTCGGTTCAAACTACACAAAAGTGTAGGGAATTTGATTCTCCTTCATACAACCCAAGGTATATAAAAACCTATTTCCCTTGACATTTGTTTCCCAGAAAGTACTAGGGGAAATAAAAAGGAAGTAGAAATTAGAGAATTAATTGGAAAAACAGAAATTGTTGGGGAAAATATAAAAACAAATAAACAAAACTCCGTAACTTTTTCTGATATTTATTAATGCTCATTTTTATTTAGTTATGTATTATTTAAACACATAAAACTAATTATATGCTAAAAATGTTTGAAAATTTATCATTTTTAATTTTTCATTTTCCCGTATTCTACCTGAAGAGCAGCCATGCCCACAGTGCTTCCGATTAAAGAATGTATCGCAGGATGGATGTCTAGTTTCCTTGTTGCCCACCATAGGCCACCTATGGAGGCTAATGTTGCAGTGGCAAGTATGCGATGGTCAAGCTGCAGAATTCCATATAACAGATTTGAACATAAAAAAACAATTCTAAACAACTTTAATGAATACAATTAAAAAATAAAAAGAATGAAACGGAGCAAACAATTCAGCCAATAGAAATTTATCAGCAAGCAATTCATATATAGGGAGTATCTAGCTGCCAACTTTTCTTTTTTCTTAATGAATTTTATCAGTTAAAGACCCGAAAGATAATTACCAATCATTCAAGGACATGGAACATAGAAACTATCAATTAAGAACCTGAAGGGTTGAAAGTTGAAACTATCAACTTAAGATTAAAAAAATAATGAATTCCGGAACTTATTTATTATTTAATTATTTTTATGTTAACTTTCAATGAAAATTCTTTCCTGGATTATTATTTTTAAATTTAATAAAGAACTGATAAAAAAGTAAAATAAATGAAATTCATGATTTTTTTTTGTTCTGGCAACCATTCACCACCTAAATTTGAAGTCTTTCATCCTTGGAATCTTGAGCTGGTAGATGGTCCTAAGACGATAAAACTCTTAAACTGCACAAGCTGAGTTTGTGATGGAGATAGGCATAAAATAGTTATCCGGGGATGACATTTACCTGGACAGTTGCAGTGTTTTCAAAGAAGTTGCGGATGAGTGGCTTCACACTGAAAACATCATCTGGAATCCACTGGTCTCCCATTTTAGGAAATGTATTGAATGCATGACCCTGGATTAAAACCACCCAACAAATTTCCCTCAAGAACACTTTTTCCCCATAGAGATAGGAGCTGGAATTCAAACACTACCTTCGTCCTGGGGGGAGTCATTCTTAACCTTAACAATAAAATTAAAACATGGCTCTTTTTTGGAACAGAGGTAGCGGTATTAAAATGTGTGTGAGTTTCATAACTGTGCAAGCCTTTTTTTAAATATGTCATGGTGATCCAAATACATAGAACCGATGTTTACATACAGCATCATTTCCAGCAACAAATGCACCTGAGATAGCTGTAAGTCCAACGAGGATACCAACTGGAAGGGCAAGACGCTTTACTTTTGCTGCTCCTTGTACCCAGGCAAGTGACTCGGCAGGAGGTTCGGGCATAACAACAGAGAGACCCGTCCAAAAGAGGCCACAATAAATGGCAAAAGCCGATGTAAGATGAGCTGCAAGGCGGTATGGGCTCACCCTTGGTATGACATACTCTGATGGTGGGTCCTGCAAATGAAACGAATATATATAAAATTTAAGAACATAATATTTTATATCAATATCAATGCAATGGTACGGTACATAATACTTCCTCTAGACCTTATTATAAGGTACAGCGGACCTAAATACACGAACCAAGAAAAATAGTTGATTTTATTGATTTCTTACAAAACTTATGAGTCCAAATTATCACTGTTTGTTTTATTGTGCCTTGTAATTGAATGCATTTCATTTTATAAGAAAAACTTCTGTAAGTATTACTAATTGGATACCCATCGAAAAAAATGTTAATTTCTAATTTAGGACATAAATGTCACCAATCATTTACAAAGAACCAACCAGTCATGGCCAATTATCAATGCAACTACCAACAGTCACTGACCAGTGATGCTTGGTAGCTGTATTTGTTTCATTTTTGTCCTACACTGAACATTTGATATATTTTGAATGATAGGAAAATCCCCTTAAAATTAAGCATGATAAATATTAATAAGAGTTCAACAATGGAAAACAATATATAAATACTTCATTGAGAAAAACAATGCCGTTTAAAAAGGACCGTTGACTCTGTTCAAAGAATCAAAATGTGTCTTTACTGTCTTACAATAAGGGCAGAAGAGAGTACATCATATATGTTGTATGTACCTCTAAACCACTTTTAACCATCCACCAACCAATAAGTCCTTGTCCAGCACCAAGGGCAAATAAGGCAGAGAGACGAAGCCCTAATCGCACAGTAATATAGCCCTTGCGGAGGAAGTATGAGAAAGGAAGCGCAAACATTATACCTAATCCTCTTCCCCACATTCGGTGAGCATATTCCATCCAATATATGAATTTGAAATCTTCCATTTCCATCCCCTTGTTTACACTGTGCAAGGGTAAAAAGTAATTTACATTTAAATAACCAGCCCATTCAAGCCATTCCCAAAGTATAAAGACTCAATAGAAATCATAAGTGCAGTGACAGTGAGTGAGTGAGCATCCAGAAGACAATTGATGTTAGCAAAAGCAGCAATAGAAATAAAAAAGAATCAGCATTTCAATATTTTACATAAAAGAAGTTTAGAAAATACAGCTAAACTAGCTTATAATCCCATACTACGGCTTTTGGATAAGTTTGTGTTCATTTAATCCCGAGGCTTTGGTAGTGCACTCATAATCTACTTAAAAGAGCCCATCCCAATAAGCTAAAAAAAAGCTTAGGAAAAATAAAATTACTAGACTTTAGATTATACCTTCGATCCATTTTTAGTACTTAAGTACTCATATAACTATAAAAAAGTAAAATCTCCATATTCCATCTCTTGTTTTCCCTAAAGTGTCTCTTTTAGTCACTCATTACCCTCAGTACCCTAATCATCATCATCATCATCATCATCATCATCATCATCATTTTCCCCAGTGCCGCAGTCTTACCCCTTTACTAGAGCGCAAAGAGACTGTTTTCGGATGACCCATGGCGAAAATCGCGTCCAAAATTGCATGGACTGACTGCTGCTTCATAACAAAGAAGCAGTTTAGTGAGCCAATATTGCTTTATCAATACCCTCTGTACCCTAATGAGGACAAGTAAAACAGACACTTTAGGATCCCCTTGGAAGTTGGAACGCCGAAAATGCTAGGGAGAAAATTTAGAGGAAAATACTTGCGAAATTTGGAAGAAAATAAAACATTGAGAAACAATAAAATATTGGTTCAAACTCAATTAATTTATTTTTCAACTTTGTTCAAAATCATTTTTATCCATTCATACATACTATGTAAAGAAAAATAAGCAATCTAAACATATATAAGAAAATTAAAACATTAGTCATATTGCTTTTTCATTTTTATTTTCCTAGGTAAATCCAATTATAAAAACACAACTTTTCTTCCAGTCTGTATTATTATCTGGGATTCAAACATAGCCTAGGGGATACTGAGGGGCTGGAATAGAGAGGTAGCTATATGACGATACAAAATGCACCAGGCTGAAATTCAGGACTAAAAGTGTCATTTTCTCAAATTCTTGCAGAAGCATGTTGATCCTACTTGGGTGTTTACCTCATGGGAATTATTGAAAAAATTGTTTATAGTATAATCCCTGAACTGAGTTGTTTCTCTGAATTAGGACTAAGACCAACTCGAATGGTTATCTCTTGTTTTTTCTTTAAGATAGATAAATCTTCATTTTGAGTAACAACTTTTTGAACTGCAACTCCTACTCCAAAATACCTCACTATTCTATCCATTTTATTTCCACTGTAAAACATGGTTCTGTATTTCACTAAGTAAGAACGAACGAGTGCATAGAGTTGTATAAATTAAAATGGGGAGGTTCTACAGTAGTGTGATTTACAACATAAGGCATTGGAACTAACCGCTTATACTCAGGGGATTGTTTGTATTTCTCAAACTCAACCACCCATTCTTCATCTGAAAGAGGAGGCAAACTCCCTGTGAATTTCCAGTCAGTCATGGAAAGGCCAGAACGTGTTAGGCGTGTTACTCCCCCTAGCACCACCATACTAAACACCCAAGCAGCTGAAGCGAAAAGCCATATCCCAACCACTTTCTGAGCATGTGGCCCACCAGTTACTAGGAGCTTCAACCCCTCCTTTGTTTCAGCAGCCGTGGAAGTGGAAAAATTTCTATTTGATGGTCTGTATCCCTAAACCATTATTACATTTTCAGGCACTACTTTAAGTACTGATGTACAAATGTCAGTTTGGAACGCGCAGAAAATGCTAGAGCAAGAAATTGGGGAGGAAATTCTAATGAAAGAGAAGTTCGGGGGAAATAAAGCATTAGCTCAAACACAACAAGATTTTTTTTTTTAAATTTGCTCAAATTTGTCACATTTTTTTTGAAAGCATTCATCCTATTTATATTCATTTGCATTCTTAAAGGTAAAACAAGACATAAGAAAATAACTTTCTTTAGTAGGGAGTATTTTTCTATCCTAGTTTCAGGATCCATAGTTCCAAACATATCCACAGAGCTAGTCAATAAAAAAACAAAGTAGGATGATGAAACTTTAATGATTACATAACTATCTTGAAAAAAAACAGAGGGCAAGTTCCATTCGTCATCAAGCATAAACTACCTCAAATAGTCAAATGGTTGTCCAGAACTGGGATACTGAAAAAGCCAAACTGTGATCATTTATAGAAATTAAATAATTAATAAACAATCTTCACTTACCGGAAATCATCCAAGAACGTTTAGCATATGATTACGTCTCTTATAGCCACTGAGTAGTGATAATGAATGAAAAAATGAACAAACAGAATATTAATAAAAAAAAAGGCAGGAAGATAACCTTGTGATTGAACTGACGAAAGGATCTGAACCCATAATTGACAAAGCTTCTGGTAACTGAGTTTCTGCTTAAAGGAGCAAGCTTCGCGACAGAAAAAAGCCTGTACTTTTCCGAAGTTTGGGTCGAGGTTGATTTGAACAACCCGCTCAGATTCGATGAAATCTTCGAACCCAAGGTTTTGTTTTGCCTCAAAATCAGGAGCAAACTCTTCTCTCTCATTGCTTACCTCTGTCTTCGCTGCGGGAAGTCCGGAGTATGTTAATTGGAGCTCAAGTTAAATCTCAGAATTAAGCTTAAGCCGCCTGTTCGTTCGGAACCGCCGGTGAAATGGCTCCCTAATGAGCATGTAGTCCTACTACGTATACATAACTCATTCCTAAAAACAATTAAGTTAAGTGAACCACTGAATTATCATTAGATTACTCCGTAATCCGTATCATTCTTCCTCACAACGTAAAATGATTAGATCACACATTTCGTTCTATTAGATTGAAAGGTATGCAACTCAGCGTGATTAATTACTCTTTTTATTCAATTTTATTATTTCAGAAATCAAATAATTAATTAACATGATTAATTCCTAATCCTAAACATGTTTCTCTGAGAATTCTAATATATCTACGGTAGATTGCTGTTATCACATTCCAACTTGCGGAAAGGGGTCCCTATTCTTGCACACAAGGTTAATGTTATTCCTTCGATTTTTTCACTCAATCTATACTTAGCACATTTCAGTTCTTCTTCTCGGTTTCTGCTACCCCGGGTCGGGGAAACCATCAATTATAATTTGATTTAACAATTTCTTTCAATCCCAATTTTACTCACAATGATTGTAAGTTCTACTAGACTAAATGAAATTAAGGACATTCTTATTTACACTAACTATAGCCACAAATAAGATCACATTTAAACATGCTAGAAAAAAAAATCAGGCCTGAATAGACTACACAGATCAGGCTAGATTACACCAAACTAAGGGTATGTTTGGCACGACTAGCTGAAAAGATACTTTTGTGAGCTTTTTAGTAATTGTTAGCTTTTAGTGACTGAAAAGATCTTAAAAAGAAAAGGTGGCAGCTGTTTGGTAAAAAGCCGACTGTTTGATTTAGTCTTGTTTGGTATACAAGCTGTTAGGACAAATTAATATTAAAAGTCACAGTCTTTTCTCGGATGCTACTCCCCGTAGCATCTCAAAAAAGATCTTTTATTTTTCGAGAAGCTCTTAAAATTTGTCATGCCAAACACACAACTAAAAGCTTTTAGAGACTTTTTAAACAATACAAAAGCTAGAAGGCGGTGACTTATGTGTGCCAAACATGCACTAAACATATTAGATCAGATCTAACATGACTTAAACAAATTACATCATACCAAACCGGAACAAGCGTAGACAATATTAAATGTATATACATATATCTGACTTTTATCTGGTCAGATCAGACTTAAACAAATCAAACCGGCCTAGAAAAGTCTGGTGCAATTAAAGACATCCTAACATACTTTCTTATTCTAAATGTAGTCCTTGTGTAGTCTAGTTGGACTTACAATTGCTAAGTTTAAAATTTGGACATAAATTTTTAACCAAATTGTAATTCTTAATCGAGATTTAAAAAGTTGAAATTACAAATAATCTTAAACCTAAACCATATGAATTTAAGAAAATTACAATGACTTAAATCGAAATTAATACTACCTCCATTTCTAAAAACATCCGATAAAAATATGTTGTTGGTCAGAGTTTTAAAAATGACAAAACTTTTAGGAAAGAAGGTAGTAGTGTTAATTAACACGATAATTCAATTATAAGAAGGATGAAAAACCTTCATTATTCAGTAAATTTTTTAATGGTGATTCAATATTCTAAACATTACATCTGTAGTACATATGCTTTCCCTATCCATCGGGGTGTGCTCCGACATCTCTACACGGAGACGCTCGAGTAAAAATGAACTCTTCGTCTCATAAAATTTTCCCCACCTGCCTTTTTGGAATGTCACAAAAAATAAAATCTCTTTTTTCTTTATGAAAGGTTTTGTGTGAGTAATATTCATTTTCTTTTTTCTTACTCAACTACAATCATACATTTTCACTTTATTCTCATTTTTTTAAATTGTGATCCAAACAAAATCGGGAAGAATGTTATGACACGCAGGGAGTATGTAATTTTACAGTAAATATATTAGAATTCTCGTAAGAAACATGTCTAAGATTAGGAATTAATCATGCTAATTAGTTATTTAATTTCAGAAATAAAAAAAATGAATGAAAATAATAATTTTTTGAAAGATGCATGCCTTTCAATCGTATAGAGTGAGAGGCATGATCTAATTGGTTTATGATGTTAGCAAGAACAAAATATAATAATTTGATGGTGCCGTTTAATTAATTTATTTCGAGTATGATCGTATGAGTTATATGCATTTCATAAGGGGACTACGTGTACGTGCTCATTAGGGAACCCGTGACATGCTCGTTAAAATTCTTGGGCACGAGGGGCATAAAGGATCAACTATCATTCCACCTGTGCAAGTGTAATATGCATACAGTTGGCGAGAAATGATCCTGTCCAGCACTTTGATAACTTTTTTGACCATGTTTTTATCAAGTCTAGTTTATCTGCACAAAAATTCAACTCAAAATTCGATTGGGAAGATAGTCAAATCATTTTTTGAAATTGATTGTGTTTTCATATTCACCTGGGCTAGAACCGGGTCGGAGTGTGAGTACAAGGATGATCTCGATATGCAAGGTTTAAATATGGAAGGTGTAACATATATAGTTCTTGTTCCTCAATGAAAATTGATCAGCTTTCATATGCAATGCATACATTTATGCAAATCAGTATAATTCATTTATTACAAATTTAAAAATTTGTGGACTTTTTTTAAAATTCCACGAATAAAAAAACTCACCACAATTCATATACAATACACTAATCTTAGATTGATAAAATTAAATCAATGTTGCTAGGGTGTCCCGTGTTCCAAGTTGGGAACAGAATCGAAACGCCGGTTACCGATTCCAACTTTGGGGAATCAAAACCGCACAATGCAGGTTATGAAATCAGCGTACTGGGTGTAATCTGGCTCGTTTTCAGATTCAGTTTTCCTATTGCATTTTTTAAGAATTAAAGTGTAGTTGTTTTTTTTATAAATAATTTAAGAGTAAATAACTTGATTATTTACTCTCACTTGGCGGAACTACGTTTGGGCTTGGAGGTGCCCGTGCCCCTGCAACTAAATTTTTGTTAGTGTATATTATATATATATAATATATATTGATATTATAATATACTCGAATATGAAGTTAAGCCCCTGCAGCCAATTCGTAAGTCCACCCAGCAACCCTCACTGCCTTGTTTCCCTGTGCCCTAGCCCCTAGGCCCTATCGGCCCATCTGTCCACCCTTGTCATGAGTGGCAGCCCAAGTGTGAAGAACGCCCTGCATCCTTCTAAGTTGGTAAGCACGAGAAAGAAGTCATCCTGCGCAAGTGCACGCTGCAGCGACAACGGAGCAATCCAATGACGATCTCATTGAAAGTGTTATATGTATTGTAATTTTGGATTGGTCTATTTAGTTTGTTATAATGTATTTTTTACAATTATACTCATTATTTCAATTGTATTTAGTTTGCTAGGATGAAATTTTTAGAGTTATACTCATATTATTTCAATTGTAGTCTTTTGGTTGTTTTACAAACAATCCCTACGTTACGGTTTTATACACCAACTCGTGAACGGCTAGTATTAGTGGTTCTTCATCGAATAATTTAATTTCTTCATCAAACGTATTCGATCACGCGAGTTAAATTTTCCGTAAATTGATTTTGGTGGGCGTAAGAGATCATTCGAAAAGCAATAGTGTTTGAAGAATTTAATTAGTTGGAATATAGATATGGTAATGAACTCAAATGCTCCCGGAAATAGTCAACTAATCTCTCCTAAAATTTGACGCATCAATTTCTTATCAAAATTAAGGTATTCTTTAATTAGTTGTTTTATTTAAATTTTATTGTTTGTTATTACTATATTCATGACATATACAGAATATGATTTGTGCTAATGTGCCCCTCCAAGTCACCCGTGCTGGTTCCGCCACTGGTCTTCGCCCACTTCATGTTCACAGGGAGCTCTCACGCCTTCTCCCACTTCAGCGGGTTGAAAAATGGTTGTCCCATTGCTTGACAAAAAGATTGTGAATAAGCGTGTGAAGAAGTTCAAGAGGCCACAAAGTGACAGATACATTTCGGTCAAGGAAGACGGGAGGAGGGCCAAGGGTATTGATTCTCATGTGCGTAAAAAGTTCTAGGGATGTACTCTCATGCCAAACATTGGTTATGGTTCTGACAAGAAAACCGCCATTACCTGCCTAATGGTTTTAAAAAATTCATTGTGCATAATGCCAAGGAGTAGGAACTTTTGATGATGCACAATAATTGTGCATAATGCCAAGGAGTTGAAACAGTTGATGATGCACAACAGGACTTATTGTGCAGAGATTGCACACAATGTGTCCACCAAGAAAAGGAAGGAAACAGTGGAACACGCAACACATCTTGATGTTGTTGTCATCAACAAGTTGGCTAGGCTTCGCAGCCAGGAAGATGAGTGATCAACTTTTATGTAGTGTTTTCACAGATGTGTTTTCTTAATCAAATATTATTGTTTGTTATGTTTTTTGTGCTTTGTAGGCACCTTGACCCTATGTCAAATTTTTGTTGCATTTCTTTAATATATTATAGACTTCACATAAATTCAATAAAAGTGTTCCCAAAAATTATAGACTTCATAAAGTGTTCACTATACTGACTAATATCTATAGTGTTGTGACTAAATTCAATAAAAAGGTAGTACGTAGTAATTGCTAAGTAGTTATAAGTTAGGTTGTACAAATGTAAAAGTTACTCTCATTTTCTTTAAAACTTTGTTAATTATCTTTAAATTCTTTTGATCAAACATCTTGGACTTTGACCAATTTTATATTTTATAGAAAATTACTCGCTTCGTCCCGCTATGATTGTCCCATTTTACCATTTCGGTCCGTCCCACTAAGATTGTCACATACTTATTTTGATAAAGTTTGTGTGGTTTTTAAATCATTCCTACTTTATTCTTACTTTTTCAATTCAATATCAACCAAATAATCTCACTTTTATTAATAATCGTGTCACCTTCTATTGTCCCAAACATAGGGGGGCGGAGGTAGTATTTATTATACAAAAGTGATTTGAAAATGTTTTTTATTAAAAGAACTATACAAAACCCTAAAATTCACTTTTGCATTATTAAGGAAATATTCTAAAATACTTTAGTTATTAATAAAGTATATATTATCAAAAAAAGATAATATCACTTATAATGGTTAGTAGTTAATATTATTGGTTAAATAATTAAAAAGTGATGGTCCAATTGGATATGCCTATGGACTTATTGGGCCAGAGGAGTAACCATACGTTATCCTTCCACTGCTAAGAGAGGGAAGTATTCGCTGCTCTGTGAAG